TATTAAGCTTTTTCCTTAAAAAGGAGGATGGAATTTTCTTACGACGTTGTAATTTTGATCTTAAACTTTTGTGTCTAATTTCTCTTCCACCATTTTATATAAAAGGTATCTCTCAGACTTTGCATCATCATCTTAGTCTACCCCGAGTTCTTCCAAAGAAGTTCTTCTACAAACAGTTTGGAACAATGCCTGCTTTCTACAAAATTGAAAACATATTTTCAATCAAGAATTTTGCAACTTGGGTTTTATTCATTTAGTTGATGTTATTTCTAAACTCGGAAAACGTATCCCATGCATATGACGATATGATCAAAATGTACCCCACCATTTCGGCAATAGAGTAATTCCAGTAAATAAGTATACTTCATTCCCTCCCTGCCGATTGGAAATAAGTTGTCTCAAGCACAAAAAAGATTTTTATGCCGAAAAAAGCGATTGGGTTTTGAACAATGCGGTAAACAGGTGAATTCCAGTTCAAAAGCAGGCTAACAGATGATAAAACTACGTTTCAATTGCGCCTCCAGCGGCACAAAAGAAATGGAGGCAATTTTTTTATAAAACACATTTTATTTGGAAAGACCTTTATGTCATTCCATATTAGTGCACCATAGATACAAAATTAGGAGAATTATGTGTAGCATTATCCTGAATATAAATTATAAACTGTGCAAAATGTCTCTCGTACCCGCGTCTTTATGCAATTTTTGCAACAGTAATGATGAATACCTATGGCATTTTTTTGTACAATGCATCTTCGTATCCAAATTCCGGGATAAAATTGTGAATTAGAGCTCCACGTATATGCTTGATTCGAGTATATGGAATTCCAGCTTTCGGGCTATCAAAGGCTGTACATCTTTTTTCTGATACCATAATCCTAATAGGTAAGCAAACCATTTATGAAAGCAAGTAGAATTTGTTGAAACCAAAATTTAGTGTTTTTTCTTTTAAGAAAAATGAAACATCTGATAAAAGAGCGAAATAGATATCTTTCACGAGAAATGGAACAATATAGATATTTAATCAACTTTCGATCACTTTTGCAGGTACGCCCAGAAACTTCTTTAAACATATTCAAATTAACGAGCTTAATGCTACTAATGTCAGTTCTGTAATGCAGTATTCGGTTAATGTTTCCATTGTAAATAGTATAGTTATTGTAGGATTTCATTGTAAGCAGCTCGTTGTAAGTAATGTATCGTAGGTAATGTATCGTAGGTTATGCGTTATAAAATAGTTTATGTATTGTAAGTGATTAATATATGTCTTTAATGAAGATTTGTATATATATACCGTTTTCAAAAACGTTGAAAATTTGAAAATGTATATTGAATATATATGTGTTCTTTTCTCATCAAGAATAGACACAATTTTTGGCGAGAAAACAATACATATATATATTTAATGTATATTTTCAAATTGCAACTTTTTTTAAAACGAGTGTATATGTACATATGTGTAAAAAAAATGCTTCAATTTTTTTAGGCTCAAAGGACGATCTGTTCTCATTTCAGATGTACTTACACTCCTGAATCAAAGCTGTTGTGAAAAAATAAGCCCGTTCTCCTGCAAAATAGTTAAATGGTCGGGTGAAATCCTTAATAGTCCATAAAGTCTGCGCCAAAGCTTTCACGTGAATTTGAGAGCCATATGTTCTTCTTCATTTGCCTCAATCACGGAACCGACCAAAAAATGTTTCATTGTTCTGCCTGACCTAATTCATTAGTTTAGCTTGGCGCACGAGTGGAGCGATGTTTGACCTAGACACCTTTGTTTCATTTTTAGAGGGCTGTCGTGAAGTGGAAATGAATCCTTCCGTCGACAACCTCTACTTGGAAAATCACGTCTTCAGGAAACTGGAGATAAAATCAGCCAGTGCCTGTGAAGTGAACTGTTTTATGGATGCTGACTGCGTCTCGTACAATCTGAGACAGCCACGGGATCCAGAAGGAAAGTATTTGTGTGAACTGAGCAATTCGACAGACAAAATTCATCCCCTGGATGTCAAATTCGAAGCGGGAGCTGTCTATAAATCATTCCGGGTAAGCCAGGTTGTGTGTTCGGTAGTGTATTTACATATAATTAGATATTATTATCAGAACTGAAAATAATACACAATACATTGAGAGCCACACAATGCACATAAAGCGTGACGATTCATGCTATGTAACGTCTTTTCGTCCCACCCAATCTCAGGCCAGAACTGCCGCGTCATCCAATTCCAGATAACGTAAATTGGCTACCGTAAAGAGTTTCAAAGCTGACGTTTCGAGGGTTAGCCCTTCGTCAGAGCGAAGGAAATAAATTATTCACTCTGGCCAACGCTCGAAACTTCAGCTTTTAAACTCTTTACGGTAATTACCCTTTTGTACTCTCCACCCGACGCAACACCACAGATTATTTTGAAACTTATCTCCCCAATTCCAGGTAATGCCATTTCACTTCATTTCATGTCATGCCATATTATATCATGTAATACAATGTCAAATATTGTTTTGCTTACGTCATGTCCTGTAATCTCATCCCATTTAAGGTCATGATATCCTTATGTTATTTTATGTCATGTCATGTCGCATTATGCCGTGCAAGTCATGTCATTTATTATCATCTTATGCCATTTCATTTATGAAACTCATGTCATGTTTGGTTATGCTGTTACATGTTAGGTCATGTCATGTTTGGTTATGCTGTGACATGTTAGGTCATGTCATACGAGGCCATGCTATTAAATTCACTTCATGTATTGCCGCCTCGCTCCATGTTATAATATGTCATGTCATGTCATGTCATGTCACGTCATGTTACCTTGTAAAAACGGCAAATAGAGGAAAATACCTCATTATTTTCACCGAATCTCAACTAATTTAGGTAAATCTCCCTTTCTTTACAGAACCCTTGTTCAGATAATCCCTGTTCTGCGATCCATCGATGTCAAACAGGATTCACCAGCAAAGGTTATCGTTGTGTTTGCAGAAATAGACTCTTTGGAAGCAACTGCACAGAAGGTATTTTTCTTCAATTGATCTACCTGTGTTATGCAAAGTCATTTTTCTTATTCAGATTTAAAAGTTTAATGTAATGTTTTGGTTTTTTTTTTTCAAAGAAAGGGTTTTACTTTATTATTTTTTATTTTTGGACATTACAGCTCCTCCATCAGTGCAAGTGTTTCCTGATTCTATCGAGACCGAGGAAGGCAAAAAAGTCTTCATGACATGTACAATCATTAGCATTCCTCCTCCACACTTCATTAAATGGAGCAGGTCTCAACAAAGTCTACCTCCCACAAGAAGCCACGTTCGAGGAGTAAATCTAACTTTGGAAAACGTCACCAAACAGGATACTGGCTCATACGTGTGTACTGCAAAAAACATCTGGGGTACAATCTCATCCTCAACGCACCTTAAAGTCTATTCAGCTCTTAAGTTTACCGTTAAACCTCCGTTGAATGTGACCGTGAAGGCTGATGAAGTTCTTACTCTGCCTTGTTCTGCTGCAAGCGATCTAAAGTTGTCGTGGATGTTTGATGGGATCGAGTCGTTACCTCCTTATGCAAGAATCGATTCCTCAAATAACTTGATTGTTTCTTCAGTCAATTTCACCCATGGTGGTAATTACATTTGCCGTGTGACTAATGCGCTCAATTCCATTCAAACAAGTGTCACCGTTTACGTCAAGTACCCTGAAACCTGCGCCAAAGTGAAGACAGACATCAGTGACATAAGTGGTGATTATTTCATTGATCCTGACGGTATTCTTGGCGAGAATCCATTTCCTGTTTACTGTAACATGACTGACAAAGGAGGCGTTGGAGTGACAGTTATCAGTCATGACAGCGAGGACAGAAGCCACGTCAATGGATCTGAAGCAAGAGGTAGCTACCGCTGTGACATCCATTACAATGACAGCAGCCTTTCCCAAATCACAGGACTGATAAAAGTCTCCAATACCTGCCAACAGTTCATTAAATATGAATGCCACAATGCTGCAATGCGCTTAGGTCGAGTTAGCTGGTGGGTGTCACGTGACGGTGAGAAAAAAAAGTATTGGGGCGGAGCCACTGACGGATGTGCGTGTAACGTGACTAGTACCTGTCCGACTCAAGAGTTGCCCTGTAACTGTGACGCGAACGATAATGTTTGGCGGGAGGACAGTGGTTTTTTGACCATCAAATCCGACCTTCCAGTTACTCAGTTGAGGTTTGGTGACACTGGTCATGCTTACGAGGAAGGATATCACACACTTGGAAAACTGGAATGCTACTAACGAACTTGACTGAATGTTGAGAAAATGGACTCACCTTTTACCATTTTCATGCGCGCGCTACGTGCTCCGCTATTGTCGATTTCACTCGACCTTAACATACATGGACGCAGTGAATTGCGCACCTCCATGTATAAAAGAGAGGAAAACGACAAACGGGTTTTTGAACATTACTAATGTTATGATTCGTCCCGTATCCAGGGATGGTAGTTTAGTTTGAATCTGTTTTTCTGGCAGCCATACGTAGCTACAAAGCATACACACATGCAGTGTAAAGATAATTAAAGACAGACCTTTCAATTGTTTTTTTTGAAAGATTTCTCCGTGGTTCAGCTTATATCACACGTCTATTTCCATGTTCAACAAAAACATTTAACCTTTGTATGATTGTATTTCATTATTTTGCATCCTCCGTTAAAGCGGACTTCAAGCTGTGTTCGAAGTTCCACATTGCTTTTCGCGCAATTTTCAGTTAGGTTAGTTGGAGACATTAGCCATAATTTCTCAACAAAAAAGCGGCTGTAAATGAATGCCTTTATACTCTTCTTGACTGAAATTAAATGTGTAACATTATTTGGTGAAAGAAACCGAATATAGACTTCATTCCATTTTGGCAGCTGGTTTTTTTGCTAATAAAAACATACTGATTTACCTCAAGAATACTTAAAATTCCTTGAAGAGTTAGATCGAAATATTAAATAAGACTCTCTTAACAGTAAATTACCCACGAATGCTGAGACGTATTCAGGAAAATGGCTTTTTTGAGCGATATATATTTTTCTAAAAAAAGGTAGTTATAATTAAAAAAACCATGAAAGCAAGCGTCTCGCTGCGACAGAGAATGACTATTTCATGAATATTTCACAATTAGTTGAGGGGCGATTTGTCCAGAACTTACACTGTTTCTTTACTTTTTATTTGCCATTGCACTGGCATAGAGACAAATTCACGAAACGAAGAGAAATGGAAATCTTAACAATGAAAGTGTTGGTACTGCTTATATCTCCAATTCTGGTGTGCATCTGTGCGGCATTCCAGCAAGGTGAGTTAAGTGGCTTAAAACCCACGCAAGATTGAATTTTTGACAGAACGACCGACTCATCCCGAATTATTCCTATTTCCATTTTGTTGATAAGCTAATTTCCTCAGACTGCTTAGCGTTACCTTTAAAACAATGTTCTAAACCGACCTTTGAATTTTAACATTTTTATGAGCCAAATTAAGAAAAAAAAAACGATGTGTACTCGGAAACAAAAGACAAAAGAAACAGTAAAGTTATAATCGCTTTTAATTCCAACGACTTTAAAAATCGTTAATTTGCCTGTTGACCGTTTCAAATAAAATGACAGATTTCCAGGCCCTTTCTTTGAATTCAACTCATTTTGGTTCCATCATATAATTATTTATACAAAAGTTATGGGAGAGGGGTAAGAATCCCCTACTGCCCAGGCTCCCTTTTCCCCCACCTTCCCCACCCATGACTTCCTTTCACCTTCCTTTATTGCGAAACACTGCAGATTAATAATTCACCATTGTTCGTATTTTCGTGTTTCTCCCACGTTTCCTCCATCTCTACTCCGCGCTCCTCTACCTGTCCATCTCCTTTTCTCCAAGGCTTCCAACCCCCTCCCCATTCACTGAGAAGGTTTCCCTATCTGACAGAAACTTTCGTATGTATACGTTTTCTCCGGAACGCAGAATGGGGCTGATTCAGGAAATCATGATCACAGGATGCAAATAATTATAAACGTTTTTAAAAGGCAGGAAATGGTTTAATTCTTATTTTTTTAGACTTGTCAGTGGAGGGTTACATTGTTATTGGAGGGTTATATCTGTAAAGCTACGATTTTCGCTCTTTCTTTTCTGCAGCACTCTTCATTTATCGCATGAAAGCACAACATTTAGACATCCTAATAACCTTTATTCGTTACTACAGGAAGTTCAACATCCCTCATCTGCTCAAGGTGTCTGCCTTTGGACACGAATGAGAGTGTTACGATTGATTGTAATTGCAAGCTCTTCGAGACATTCACAATCTGTTATCGCATCTTATTTTGTCCTCAGACGATGATTGTCGACAAGTGGAGATGAATCCAACAGTAACAGACTTCTTTCTAATTGGCCACGTGTTTAAGACCATGGAGATAAAAGCAGCCAGTGCCTGTGAAGTAAATTGTTACATGGAGAATAACTGTATATCCTACAATATAAAACCTCTTCCGGATGGGAAATATTTGTGTGAACTGAGTGATTCCGATGACGTTGCTCATCCATTGAATATGAGATACAGAGAAGGGGCTATGTATAAATCATTTAAGGTGAATCATTATTACTCGAGATCAAACAGATCGTATTCATGCCACAAGTAATGGCAGGGTGTAATTTAAGACATTTCAGATGAGAAGCCTAAAAAAATTCAGGCATCAATGAGATTTGAACCCATGCCCAATAGTAACTATAATGCCTCTGTACTCCATTTGGTTGCATCCATGGATTAATGGATATGAGCGTGAATGGATTCATAGACATGTAGGTGGAAATTACCAGCATTGATGCTTGCATGGATGCATGGGTGATAAAAGCATTGATGTCTACATGCATTGGTGATGAATGCACAGTTGATGGATCCATGGATGATTTCCTAAATAACTCGATTGCTGACATCCTGGATACATAACTGCACAGGTCCATGGGTGATGGATGCATACATGCACAAGTGGATAGAAGCCTGAGTGCATGGATGTATAGTTGCATAGATGGTCAATAAATGCATGCTGTTCAGATGCATAAGGGCATTGATACATACGCATTTACGTACATGCATTGAGCCTGTAACAAAATCAAATACGGTTCGCGACTGCATCTTAAATCCGACAGAAATAATGTTTGCTTTACTTTGCAATTTTGCAGAACGTTTGTTTCAAAAATCCTTGCCCAGTGGCTCAGAGTTGTCAAACTGGCTTTCCTCGTGAAGATTATCGTTGTGTATGCAGGAATGGACTGATGGGACAAAACTGTAACGAAGGTATGTTGATCGACTGATTCGTCTGTCTATTTATTAGTCTGTGTTTTATGTGAGTCGCAAGTCTCGACTAAGATTGTTCACAAGCAAACCAATTATAACTTTAGGATAGGCTACTGTATATCTTCCAATGTTGCTGGACGGTGAAAAAGAACAGTTTACCGATAACACCTGTGAACCTTAACAGAATAAGTCTTTTGCACGCGTTGTTACGTTGAGTGTTTTCGCGTGAGAAAAATTAATTTTATGCTTTCAAGTATAATTACCTTTGTGACAGGTAATAGGACTTTGCGTCGTTCAGTTCTGTGTATTCGTCCCGCTGTCTTCTGATTTAGTTTAACACTCGTGATACAATAAACTGAATTGCTTTATACCTAGACTTCCAATCAATAAAACGAGCACTGTGATTGGTTGATTCTTGGTCACGTGCCCCTGATCAAATTCAGATGTATCTCGACCGGGATTCAATTGCGCAGTTGTTGCCCGAGCGCCGAATATAACAGCATGTTTTTGCCATATGATTGTTTAAGAGAAAGTCTTAATATATATCATAGCACTTAATGTATGGTCCCTCGCGAACGGATTAGTCTTGTTTTCCCTCGAGTCCTGATTTTCCCGAAACGAAGTCGAAGGAAACATCAGGACTCGTGCAAAAATAAACCAACTGTTTCCCTCGGACTATACATAAAGTGTAGCTTGTACTCCACTTAGTTTGTGCCGGGTATTACAGTGTCACTCAGGCCTCCAAATTAGATACTTATGCTGAATACTTATTTCTTAGTCCTTCTTCCTGCCATCTATGAGGTCACCAGTAAGATGAGAAATAGGAGTTGAATATAATTAGCTAGTAACATAAGCAAGCCAGTACACTGTGAGTTGTTCTGTGGCAAGCTAAGTTATGAAAATAAAGCACTGGTACATAGGTTATTGTGAGGTAATTACATCCTTCATTTAAATTTAATTAATTAATTTTCAAATGGCCGCCAGTTCAGCAATCTACAATTTAGTTCGACTTCATATGATTTTTTCCAAGATATGCCCGTTTTGATTCTAGGACTACCATCAGTACGAGTTGCTCCTGATAAAATCGAAACTGTGGAGGGTAGAAATGTTTCCATGACGTGTAACGCGACTGGTAATCCGTTGCCACATTCAGTTACGTGGAGCAAGGCTCAAGGACTGCTACCTTCTTCAAGAAGCTTCGAAGATGGAGGAAGTCTGACCATGACAAACGTCTCTGCATTAGACAATGGTTCCTACCTGTGTACTGCCACAAACATTTGGGGTAAAAAATCATCTGCAGTTAACCTCCGAGTGTATTCAACTCTCAAGTTTACCATCAAACCCCCATCGAATATAACTGTAAAGGCTCATGAAACTCTCACACTGTCGTGTTCTGCTTCAAGCGACCTGTTACCAACGATGGCGTGGATGTGGAACGGGACCTCGTCATTACCTTCAGGCGCGGGTATTGATTCCTCCAATAACTTGATAGTTTCACCTGCTAACTTAACCCATGTAGGTAACTACACGTGCAATGCGTCTAATGCATTGAGCTCTATTCAAACAAGTGTCATCGTTTACGTCAAGTACCCTGAAACCTGCGCTAAAGTGAAGGCCAACATCAGTGACGTCAGTGCTGATTACTTCATTGATCCAGACGGTGTTCTTGGCGATGATCCATTTCCTGTTTACTGCAACATGACTGACAAAGGAGGTGTTGGAGTGACAGTTGTCAGTCATGACAGCGAGAACAGGACACATGTGGATGGTTTTGACCCGGCTGGTTCATATTCCCTTGGTATCAATTACAACCCCGCCAGCATTTCTCAGTTAAAAGTTCTAACAGACCTTTCCACCAATTGCCAACAGTTCATCAAATATGAGTGTCTGGACTCTAGAATTAGCTCGTCTAAATTTGCATGGTGGGTGTCACGTGACGGTGAAGAAATGTTCTACTTTGATGGGGCCAGTCCAGGGTATGATGGCTGCGCCTGTGGAAAGAACAACTCGTGTGTCAAAGCGTCGAACGTTTGTAACTGTGATGAGAATTCACCGATATGGCGAGTGGACAGCGGTCTTCTGACAAACAAATCCCACCTTCCCGTCATTCAGTTGAGGTTTGGTGATACGGGAAGCTATTATAGCTGGAATGGAGAATTCCGACCTGAAGAAGGATATCACACTTTGGGAAAATTGGAGTGCTATGGAATAAACTGAGCAATGTACTGTCGTTAAGTGGAATTCCTGAGGGATGACAGAATTGCAGTCATTTCGCCCACCAGTCGTTTCGCTAACGACCAGCTTCATTGTGTCTCAAGTCGTTTCGCACTCGTCTCAGGTCAGTTCGCTAAGGTAAGGGTCGTTCTGCTCACGTTGTGGGTTATTTCACCAAAGTCTCGTATTGGTTTGTCTTCTCCGTAGACGCGACGAGCAAATTGTTGTACCGTCAACATGTGGTACAACATTTGGGTTATACTGTGCACTGCCAGTTTGTCGGATAGAAATTCTTTGATTGTACGCTGTGCGTGAAGCCTAAGCTGTCTATGAGTCTGCTTTTTCCCTTTGCTTAGTTCTCTCGTCATCTTTCAGTTTTTTTATTGAAATGACCGAGCTCCCTAATGATTCAATGAGGGTAAATATATGAAAATCATATTTGTGAACTGCGGGTAAAGAAATAAACACTACTTAAGTAAGGAATAGGGAAAATAAGGTCTGAAAAACTTCAGGCCTGTACGCTATTTGAACTCATAGCCTCTGCGATACCGGTGCAGTGCTCTACAAACTGAGCTAACAAGCCAACCAGGAGCTGGTCATAATGTTGGTTCGTAATAAGCCCGTGAAGCGACGAGCCAATGACCGTGAATATATGAAAATCATATATGTGAACTGCGGTTTAAGAAATGAATGTTAAAGCTTGTTAGCTTTTTAGCTCAGTTGGTAGAGCACTGCAGCGATGTCGCAGAGGTCATGGGTTCAAATCCCGTACAGGTGTGAACTTTTACGGGCTTTATTTTCACTGCTGCTCAAGTGATGTTTATTACTGCGAAGATCGCTTTTATACTCGTCCCATATGACTGTACTTTAGCGAAAGGGCCTATCAGTTGGTGAAATACCCTGAGACGTTGACGAACTGTTCGCCAGCGAAACGACTGATTACCGGACGGCGACGTGGGAAGACGCCACAAACCAAAGGTTGTAACTCTACCACTCACAATTCGGGGTACACATCCATAAAAATTCTTTTTCACTAAATCACGATTGACTGTCCGCAGAATGAATGTGGGAGTAAGGATAATAATTCAACTTATTTTGTGTAAAAATGTGAGGTCAATGTAGACCATTGAAAAAGACAAACATAATGTAATTCAGAATTCTAATTCAACCTAGCATTATTTACTGCACTCCATGTTATTCTTTATTATTATTATTATTATCTATTATTACATTATTACATTATTATTATTATGTGTGTGTTCAAGTTATCTTGTGCAAAAGGATTTGTAAATACTAGCAATATCAATTGTATCATGATTGCATGTAATTTATTTCCTATGTCACTAAGTAGAATATATCTTATGAAGAAAAAATTGCATGGCCAGTATGACGCTGTGTTTCGTCGCGGCCAAGATACGCGTCAGATACTTTTCGTAAATTTCAAGCGAACTCGTCAAACATCGCGCTCAAAGTCCCGTTCGCGAAATCAAGATATTAGCAATATGGCCTTCTATCGCAGAAGGATTCCCAATTGCTCGTTTACGAGTTACGATGTATGTTTTACAAACTTTAATATGTTATGATTCAGTTTTTCTGGATTATTTAGGAAGTTATATATCTTTGTATTACTTCTTTCATATGTAAAGTGCGCTGAGACTTTGTAAGAGTTTACTACGATAATCATCATCATTATCGTTATTATTAACACTATTGTTATTATTGTCAAATACTAAATACAAATTAGAACTTCACTCGCCTTCAGTGAAGCATATTCTCATTCAGCTTGTCATATTAAGTTACATACGTCTGATTAAACACGCTCAGCACTTAAAGCCGTAATACCAATCTAATGGTTGTTTGTGAATTTGTTTGTTAATTTTTTCTAGAGGTAAGTATCTCGATTATCTTGATAATCACAAGCTACATTGCAAGTGGATTGCAGAGTACAATTAGAGGCCATCTGGTTTCGCTTCAATACTGGCGGTTTCTTTGTCATTCTGCCCGGCAGTTTACTTTTGTACAGCTCCAGAGCTCTTCCACTCACAGCGAATGCCAGAAAAATGAACAGCCCTAGGAAGAAATGGAGTAAACGTCGGGGAATTTATGGTTATTCTAATCGCGAAACTTATCGTCATACCGTTTCCAGTGTGTATAGCGTTTACGTGTTAATAACCTGTGAGTGTTTGTACGTGTCGTTAGTTGTATTGTGTACTTGTGCTTGATGTTTGTACCGTAATATTACGCAATTATGTCGAGTAATTTGTCAGGCTTTTTGTATAAATTTGATCCTTGGAATCAATGTTTACGTCGACTTTTAAGAAACAGCGTCGCCGTTTCCGTTTTTCGTCGGCAAAGCTATGCACCGTTAATGATATATTGTTATATATTATGTAAGGTTTTCGTTCTCTAAACCTTTTCTGTGTGAATCAATTCCCCCAGCAATATGTTTTACCTTCCACAGGTCAAGAATATTATTATTTCAATTATTAGACTGAAAAAATTTAAAACATAGGTCGAAAGAGAAGAAGTAAAACAAAACATACCTTGAAGGCTGTTTAAAATCGCATACGGGTACCATAAGAATGATAAAGACTTCACGTTCGCAGCAATTCCCAGAATCCATGTCAAGCCCATAACTGACACCATTTTGAAGCAAATTACAGCCACATTGCTACTTTGTCGTTGATGGGTGACTTGCTGAGTTTCCTGCAAGAGAGTACAAATAAATATTTCACGGAGGAGAAAATTTCCAAGAGCGTTAGCCCTTCGTCAAAGCGATAGTGATTCGCTCTGACGAAGGGTTAACGCTCTAAACGTCAACTTTGAAACTATTTACGGTGGCAAATTTACGTTATCAACTCAATTGATAATACTAAATTACCCTGCTATACTTTCCCACTGACGCAGCTCCGCAGTTTTTTTAGAAACTTCCTCCTTCTATAAAATGGTTAGATTAAGTATTCCACCTGAAATTTCCTTTTAAAACAACGGGGTGATCCACTCATGTTTTTCCACTAAAGGATCAAAGTAAAAATTTGGAACAAATTTACATATACCTTTCGTGTTTTGAGGATGTGACTCACAGTGTGCCCGAGCGCCAACAGATTAAAGACCAGGAGTAGTGTAACAGGCAGAACAAATGAATAAAGTTTGGCTTGCGGGTGAGATATGAAACATTCCTCTGCACCTTGTCCTATGGCAAATACAAAAAAAAATCCACAAATTCAGAATACTAAAAGCTTCTCATTGAAAAAGGGAAAATAATTATTAAATGAGGATGGAAATGTATACCCCAGGGGACCAGGGGAGGGGGAACGGGGGGGGGAACGTTTCGCTAACAGAGTATAAAAGAAGGACTCAAGAAAATTGACTGCCAATTAAATGCCAATGAAGGAGAGATGGGGCGAGATCAGAAGAATATTAAGAGGACTTCTGAGGAGATCATTGATTTCTTTTTCGTGACAAAACAAAAATCCTCCCACCCCACCTTGCCCCAGGCGATGAATTAAAACGGGCCAAAGAGTCAGTGAAAACTCTAATGACGGTTTATTTCTGAACAGCTTCAACAAATTAGCAGTGCAAAGAACTCACCATATCCGATTGCTCCTTTCTCTGTATGATCAATTACGACACATGTGACGACAATCGCAGCAGGAGCTCCCCAGGCGTACGCGCTGTAGGCAGCGAGACGTTTCTTGTCGCCATCACGCAGATTCGCTGCAACTCCCGATCCGTCTTTTGAAATAATGATAGAGCGCGTCATGACCAACTTAGGTAATAGAATGAACTTAATGAATCGGTAGGGGGCTGAACGGGAAATTGTTCTGTCAAAGGTATCTCTCTCTCTCTTTCTCTGGCTGCTATTGGACATAAATCTGCCGTTCAAACACCTCGAAGACTTGGGGCTGGGTTAAGTCAGTTCATAAGATTGCCTCTTTCGGGGCTTTCCAAGTTTCTCTACCCTCAAGTGATGCAAGGGTTACTCAATGGGATAATAAACCATCGCAAGATACCTACACTGTCAACCCCATCCCAACCTGGAATTTCGTCAGGCTTTCCTGACAGTTGACTAGTAACGATTTATACTCCTGTTTGGAGAAAGGCATTGCGGGAGTTGTGCGTCTTGCCCGAGCACCTCTCTTCTTCAAGTCTACCACGTCTCCGTAATGCAAGCGACAAATATTTACAGGGTTCGTACTTTTTTTCAGAAACAAATTTCAAGGAATTTTGGAGGACTTAGATTGATTGTTCTAGGACTCTGAATTCACTATAAACCTTTCATTCCCAAGATTTCAAAATCCATTCTCCTTATGGTCTACATGCATTTCTTTTAACATAAATTCTGAAAACTTCATTGCTTGAGTTAAGCTGATTTCCAAGGCTTACCAAGACATGCAGTCTTTTTCCAGGAAATTCCCGTCCCGGAAAATGTCAAAACAAAATTCCAAGTCTTTCCAGCTTTTCCAGGACCCGTACCAACCCGCATATATATATAAGCAGAAACCTTATCTTTGAGTCTCAGAGTGCTTTACACTCGTGAACCTAAATAATGGTCGATTGAGTAGAAAAGGAGAAATTACAACATTACACTACAGAACTGTTTCGAAAGGGCTTACTGGTCCTCTCTCGTCAGGTATATGGAACACTAATCAATTAAGGTTCCCTTTGTAGGCTGGTCGTTCAAAAATGCGCTCTTAAGTACATGCTTGCATACCGGCACGCACTCGCTATACATTTACATATAAATCATGAAACTGGACTTACTAAACGGAGCAAAAATCCGATGCACATCGTAAGCCATCACGTTCATCCAAGTAAAGGAAGAGAGGACGAAGAAATGGAGAAGAACTGCAACTGATAGACATGTGTCATGATCGTCGGTCTCTCCTCCTACAAAGAAAAAACTCTGATACAGCAGCAGAGAGATGGCTAAGTTTATTAATATTTTCCCCGGTAGGTTGCAGAGCTCGGTAAACATGATGTATGTCAAAAGTAGAAGAATCAGAGAAACGATCGACATTATGGATCCAATAAAAGTAAACAGCTGTAAAGATGCTGGCGTAGTTCTGGTGATCTCCCTCCGTTGATAACGACGAGTGTTATCTGATCTCGTAAAGTTCCTCGAGAAATTTACGCATAACAGCAATTTATCGTCCATAAATCTGTACGTGTTATTGACGTAGGTTTTCCGGTGTTTCTTCAAATAGATGGATCCGTTGAGAAGTTGCTTGAAATCTGTTTTGTTAAACGCCACAATAGTACAGTTTGGATTCCAGAAGTCTGAGCCATTTTGCTTATCCTGCCGAGGATCGCTATAATCTTCAAGGGAGACAACTTTTTTGCAGCTTGCAGCGTAGGGATCGTACAGTTCATCATCAGAACAAACTATGGTACGTTCAACCCGTTGAGACACGCCTTCTTTTGTCTCGTCTACCCGAATATTGCATCTCGACGTGGAAGTAAAATCAAACAAGATAGTCAATGGCGGAGGTACCGGACCACTTCCAGATACACAGTCATTTCCGAGATC